CAATGTTTGAAAAAAATTTGGCAGCACTGCTTTTTTCGTCCATGTCGTAAACAGACAAATATTCACAACGAAATGGAAGACAGTGCACAAAAAAATTAAAAAGTTTTATCAATTTGTTTATTAAATTATAAATATTTGAACCCAATTATGGAAAATATGCCTGGACAACAAAAAAAGCTGAACGAAAACGTTATCTTAACAATTAAAGGGCTATTTTTTAGTCTCGAAAACTTCTTAAAACACGGTTTTTTGCACTTTTTTCTTCATCTTCAATGAATTCCAAGCCTAAAATTTTGTTTTTTTATTGTTTCTCAAAATTGCAACACAAAATCAAACAGCAGATATTTTTCTTACCTCCTATTTCGCTGGTAACAAAATTTACAGGGTAACAGTGAGCTCAGAATACGAAATGGTAACAAAATTTACTGAACGGTAAATTTTAATACCTAGGTAAATTTTGTTACCTCGACAGAATAGGCCTGTAAGAAAGCATATACTGGCAATCTTGTATAGCAACGAGAAATGAAACCAGCGGAAAAAATCAAATCACCGCTGGTTTCTGCGGGACAACCGTCACTAACGGCATGGGCAAGCGGTGGCAACTTTGTGTTTACATGGCGCTCTCATAAGATAGCTTACTATGGACGGCTGGTACGTGAGTTGGGTAGTTGCTGCATAAGAGCTGCACAATTTAGCGCATCCTAGGATAACCAGCCATGGGCTACGGACTTTAATTACCAGACTTATAATAAGATTTGAGTAATACTGTGATATTATAAAGTATTTAATATTTTAGTTTTGTTTAACGCTTCTTTCTAATCAGCAATATATATATATATATATATATAAATGTGTAGTTTTTTAATTATTTTATACTCACAGTTATTTACGTTCGCCAAAAACGAATTCCTTAATATTTGGAAATCTCTTCCTTTTTCACGACATCTTTTTTCTCTTCCTTTATTATATTTGCGCTTTTCAACACGTATACAGAATCGGTGTATTGTTAACTAGATGTTAAAATTATTGGTACAAAGCATTTTTACCATATTTCAAATTGTACGTTTCATTTTATGGGCAACAAAATGCTTTCAATACGCTTTATGATATATTTTAAAAAAATTTTTCATTCATCGCTTAGCAAACGATTAGATATAGAAAGTTCTACAATAACAGTGAAAAAATAAAAGTTTGTTATGGAGAATCCATTGTAAGCCCATCGCCTGCTTAGAATACGTATGGAAATAACGAAATATATCATATTTGGTGTGAATTAAATCTTTTATATGAATATAACTTTGACTGGCTCTAAAGCGAACAGTTACGTGGGCTTAACACCACTGATCTGCCAAAATATTACTGATATGCCACAAAGAACATTTGGAAAAACAAACATACAGCCAATTTTCTACCTGTGAATTTTCTTTACATACATACATATATAAGTAATCTCCATTTTCAGAACAAAAGGCATAGTTTAATGTAAATGTGTATGCATACATACATATAGTGGATCCTCGAGTATACATCTGTATGTATGTCATGACGTATAAATAGTTGTGTTCGGCGAGAAACGGCGCTAAGGATTAGCTCGTAACGAAATTGAGAGCGTAAGATGACATCTTCAATTCATTTGTATTCAGATATTATTGTAATTCAACAATGGTATACAAACTCTGACCCACTTGCTGCCATTGTATATATGTATGTATATCTATATGTATACATTTGTGGTTTTACGCTACCGCGTCCGCCAATGGTATACCATAATTACATAAATATTCTACAAGGCCCTCAAACCATAAAGATAACAGTAAAAATAATGATTGCAAAACTTTTCAGTATCCGCTGACAAGGTTTGCTGGACATTATAGAATATCTTAGATTGCTCTTTTTTTTAAATAATAACACATTCAGAAAGCCCTTTATTAAAACAATTTACTCTCCTAATTTCGTTGCAGTGTAATTCTTACTGACATTTCTCTCAGAACAAATCTAATAGTTTCGTGCGTTGACTATATGTTTACCTAAATCGTGTTCGTTGAGCCGAAAACCCAGTAAAATTAGTAACGAGAAAGCGTAATTTGTACGTTTAGTTTGGAAAGAAAGAGATGGGAAAATTTCAGCCAGGAAAAACTAGCAAGTATGAAAAACAGCTGATTTGTGATCATATAATTGAAAGTTGGCCAACAAAACAAAATTGATTTATAATGAAAATAATGTTAATTTTTCAATATCAACGATTTACTAACAATATAATTGACCAAATATAACTTCGCTAAAGTAAATTTAATGGTATCAACGTTTCAATTAAATAGTTAAGGTACTCAATACATAAATGAGAACGTGGTGGCAGTGGCGTGGAATCAGCGCCTGCATACTACCGAGCCCCCGTTGATGAATTGGAAGTTAGGAATGTCGAAGGCATAGAATTAAGATATATTATTTCTTGTACAACTAAAAATTACTTTGGATTCCATAAATTCTATAGAAAGCAGTGTCTACCAAATAAGCCGCAAAACATTGCGAAGCAAAGTTATCGCAACGATCGCAGTGACGATGCATTCTTAAGCTTCCGGAAGCGACGAAGATGCACAAAATGAAATATTAGTGGCGCTTAGAAGGAAAAATTAAGCTCTTGCTTGGTTTTTATCTAAACAGAATATAATAAACTATATATAAAATGTTGAGTTAATATGGCCGGCTTACACGGGAAAAGAATTTAACACTTATTTTCGTGTTTCAGTCATCCTTATTGGAAATCGAAGCGACAAGTTGTAGCAAAGCAAGTTCTTTCTACGGCAATCCTCATAATTTTGGAGAATTATTGGAATTGGAAGAATTTGAATGCAATTAATAATTAATAAATTAATAAATTTTTATTGAAACTCTTGGGAAAATACTTAAAACCAGAAAAAATAAACTGTAAAAATGCGGATGAAAATTTAACCGTCAAAATAAACAGCTGCTGTACAAATTGTAGGCTATTTTTTACAGAATCCCTTCGGTGAAATCTTGGGAGAGTAAAACATCTTACTCTCTCAATTTCGTTACTGGTTAATTTTTACTCACATTTCTCAACGAGCACAGCTAAAATTATATTCATTTTAAATAATTTGTATCATGTGAATAAAAATGCACTCCCTTTCATCTTTCCAAATGTTCAACCCACTTGGTGTGTTCTATGAGATTCAGGAGATTAAAAACACCTCTCGATGCAAGCTCTACAAAGCAATCAAAGAATAAATTTTCGTGGAAACATTAACGAATCGCAGTGAGAGCTGGTCAGTGGCAGTGGTAGTGTCGAAGAAATCGTTTGAGAAGCAGTCCATCCTTCCACCATGAGTTCCCGGTTATTACACCGCATGTTATACTTATTAAGGTCCGGCAGTAGGAGTTTATCTCAATTAACAACCGGAATTGTCTTGTCATATTGCACGTGGTTCTCTCTGCTTTTTATTGCCTAGAGGTGGTATGATTGCATTGGATGTAATAGGTTAGGTGATCGTATTAGAAACCAGCAACCGAGAAGCGGCTTCAATTATAGCTGTTAGTTACGCTGCAATGGTCTGGAACTTAATTTCATAGCAAGCGGTTGAGAGTAAATTCCGCAATCTACAAAAGACGAAAACGATGCAATTTCATCAGGGTTGACTTGCATTCAGTATTAAGCTTTTAACACCTGTGTGCGATCTCGGTGCCTTTGAGTAAGATTGGTTTGAAGGCAGATGGTTTATACTTTCTAGTAAAATCTTTTAAGCATTTGCATTTAGACCGCACTTCCGGCACCAGCTAACTACTTACTGTGTGAAGAGCATTTTGAAGCAGATCGCTCAGGAGCTGGAAGTTTTTTCCAATAGCTGTGAGGGAATGTCGTCAGCGTATACCACTGCGTCACAACCAGTATGTTAGCGGCGATCATTCTTTCTAAAATTTTTTACAGGAAATATATGTATATGGTTTACTGGTAGAAAATCCTTTGCATTCATATGACTTTTTTTACCTCCCTTAGGAATGAAGATTACTCTCGCCTTGGACCACACATGGGAGATGTGCGCCATGGACAAGCTGAGTAGATACTACATAACAAGACGCACACGATATCCACTGCTGACTGAAGTACGCCGGGAAAAAATCCATTTAGTGCCGTTTACACAGCACGCAATTGGACAGTTCTCTATTTTATTGGTTCATTTTTTCAGAAGTCCAGCATGTGGAACTCGATAAATAAAATCATTAAATCAGCACGTTGAATCAATATTATACAATATCATCTGCTTATAATTTCGACAAGTTTAACATCCGTCTAAACATTATAACTTCTTTAACAATGCCGGAAACGAAGAATGAGATTTTTTGTCGCGGTGGTGCTAACAGCCGGTATGTGCATAATACTGATCGAACTTCCTCCATTTAAAATGTGCCAAACGGAAATACATAAAAATCCAGTTTTCCCTGAAAACCAATAAAAAACTTACGTTAACTTACTATTAACGTAGTTAAAAGTTCGTTAGCACTGTTTTTGTAGGTCCGCAATTGGGAACAGATTACTTTACGTCACCCGATAAGACTCGCCAAAAAATTGAGAGTATCATAATGATTTTATTCTTGAATATTTTGTATTTTAATCATCTGTGGGTGTTCAAATAATCCAATATTTTTTTCAAATCGAAAAATTACGGCAATGGATTTTTCTTGTAATCCTAATCTCAATACTTTTTTATAAATAGGTGATTATTATCAAAATTATATTTAAACCTAATATAAATAATTTTTCAATTCCCTTTAAATTACTATTTTCATTTATGTTTTCTGATGTTAATGCCAGCCAAAAACCAAATGCTGATGCATACAATGCACAAAAGTCATTTTCAAAGTGTTATCCGAATCCGGCCGAACAGGGTATAAAAAGCAAGTAAATATCGGGTGTGGGTGTATTTTGGCTTGGCAACTCTGTACATTTTACGTTTATCGTAAGTAAACGATATTGCATTTTGCTGTAAAAATGTCAAAATAAAGAAAATTATTGCATATGTGAAAGTTGCAGTCCAGAGTTGTAATAAGTATGCAGAAAATACTAAAATAACTTTGTACAGAGTGGATCCGTTCTTGTTTTTCATACTCTAAACATAATTTACTTAAAAAATTCATTTATTATTGAAAATTGTATACATGTAAGCCATAATCTCTCTGTTTGCCTACGTTTACTATATTGTGGTCAGAGTTGCGGTTGCGTCTCGAATTTGTGCCATTTTTTCTACTACATTACAACCGCGAATTGGAATGAAGAGTGAATTACATTTGTAGATGATCCAAAATAACAAAAGGCAAAAGTTGATAGTGAATAAACTAGCATATTCTTGGTGGAGTGCATAGTGTTGTAAAAAGTAGACTTTTGAATGTGTAAAAAGTAGAGATTTTGCGGAAAAATACTTGTATATTGGGAAAACTTTTTAAGTTACAAAGTGTGAAATTTTAGTCTCGTCGGCCTGGAAATTTGCCCGCAGTAGCAGATCTTCAGCAGCGGCTGTTTTAGCAGCAGAGCTCCAAGTGTGTTGTACATACATATATGATTTGTTGAAGAGAGTTAAGGGAGGAGGGGTCGCGTGTGCGTGAGTGCGTTCGCGCTTCCAATAAAGCAAATGTGACATTTGCGCCAATGGCACAAAGGGGAAGAAAATAATTACTTCAAAAGAAGAGAATCCATAGATATACAAATATTAGAAACAACAGAATCGTTTTCATAAAGAAACAAAAAAAAAACATAATTTAATATAATAATTACGTATGTTTGACTTAAATTCGTAAACTTATCTAAGCATTAGAAACTAAGTGAAGTTGGAGAGACGGCTGTATACATTATATTGAAAAGATAAATTTAAAGTAAAATAAGTTGGTTACAATGACCGAGATGAAACGCGTAGCGTTTACCACTTTGAGTAGTAGTACTTCGTCTACAGTAAATCTTAACGCTGGTGTAAGCGGTGCTGCCGGCATTTTAGGGGGTTTTAGCAGTGCTTCTTTACCCACGAACTCGTCACGTTTTGGTGCTGATTTCCTCGCTGGCCAACAAAACGTGGATGGTGAAAATGTGACAGATCGAAAAAATAACAAATCAATGCGGCTCTCTATAGAACTGTTTCCCACAGATTCCTGCAAGTATCCCGAATTTAACTATTCCAGACTACTACACTTGGAAAAGGTAAATATTAAATTAATAATTTAAAACTTTTTTTACATACAAATATATTTATGTTTTTATATTTATGTTTTATCGTTTACAGAAAAAACAAAAAAAATTGAAGCAAAAAACAAATGGTTTCACAGATCCATTTAACGAAAATGATGATGATGTAGCTAGAATTGCGCGGGAGTTGGAGAAAAAATATGGAAGCGCGTATAGTAGTGGTCGAGGACGTAGCAAAAAAGATGATCTATGCGATATAGGTTTGGGATACGATGAATCTGACTCTTTTATAGATAATACCGAAGCTGTACGTAAAAAAATCATATGCATATACCTACTGACATTATTTGTAATTTGTTTTATTTCTCGTAATTTAGTACGATGAAATCATCCCGGAGGAGCTGGAAACAATTGAAGGAGGTTTCTACATCAATTCTGGACCATTAGAATTTCAAAAGCTTCACACAGAATCAATGACAACTAAAACTGATGAAATTATCAAAATGCCGAATCGACCAAGAAAACGGATCATATCGTCGTCATCCTCGGATAGTTCATCCAGCAGTGAAGAAGATGCTGAAGAAGATGTCGATTCCGATGGTGAAGTGTCCAGTGCTGATACTGTGAAAGGCGGTAAGGGTAGTAGTGTTATATCACAGTCTGCGGAAAAACGATCGCGCAGTAACTCCATTGTGAATCCAACAAAGAAACCTAAATCCAATCAGGAGAGTAATACGAAAAAAACAAAAGTAAAAAATATAGGTGTAGGAAGTTCATCTACATCGAACTCACCAAAACCTTCATCCGTGGGCTCAGATTCAGAAAAAGAACGAATTCGACAGAAAGTTGTGAAGACAACTACTATAAAAGATATGCTTAAAGCGAAACGGGACAATTTTCTAAAAATGCAAGAAGGTGGAAATTGGAATCGGCAAAGCGGAGTCTCGGAAGGGAAAATAAACAACGGTGAATTGAAGGGAGCTGCCAGTAAATCATCAGATGAAGATGATTCCTCCTCTAGTGGGGAATCAGATGACTCAAGCGATGATAGTGATTCGAATGATAGTGAGCCAGACGAGAAGAAACAAAAAACTGGTAATGGAGAAAGTTCAGAAAGTATGTCTCACACATTTTTATGATTTATTTCGATATAAACTCCTCTACATCCCTTATGTTTATAGAGTTGCGTTCCAGTGACACTAAGCTGCCCGAAATCGATCCTGAAGTTATGTCTGATATTCAACAGTTTAAAGAAGTTGTAAAAATGAAGAATTTAAGTGGCAAACGTTTCCAATTCGACGATTCACTAGCTGAAGTTTTTCTAAAGTAATAATTTATTATTAATTCTTATATTTTGGATTAATTTAATGTTTATTTTAGACTTGATGAGGCATTGTTATGCATGGAAAAAACCCATAGAAATATGGTATTTGCCCACTTGGAATACCATCTAATACTGCCTAAATATTTCTTCTTGCGTAAAGCAAAGCAGCTACGTATTAAAGAAGAAAAAATGAAAAGCAAAAGAGCAGTTGGAAAATTACGAAAGGCCATTATTGAAGCAATGCCGGGTGTTATTGCGAACTTCGAAGCAGAAATACGGAAGCACGCAGAAATGTAAGATATATTTTTTACGCTACATTTGTTGTTTATTTTTTGTTTTAAATTTTAGTGCTGGTGGTATAAATGCTGATCATCCGCCAAAAATGCCAAAAAAGAAGTTTCCATGGAACAATAACTTACGGTAAGCACACAAACAAAGTTACCCACGCACACTTAAAGGCCGAACAAATTCTCAACTAACAATGGTTTATTATAGAAATCTTCTTTACGACGTTTATCAAGTACGTTGGACGTCGTTTCCTGTGCTAGGTACACGAAAAGAGACCCTTGAAGACTTTATTAATGTATTTCTGCGAGAAAAAGTTGTAGAGCTGTGGCCAAAGGATTGGATGCGGTTTGAAGAGCTCCAAAGAGAAATTGAAAAACGTAAAGCAGCTGCAAAAAAGGCAAAAGACAAGAAGAAGGAAAAAGACAATAACAGTGGTAATATAAATAGCAACCTCAACTCAGTCAATGCTTCCACCACAAGTAGCGCTCTTGCTTCTGGTTCTGCCACACAAAATGTTCCCGCCAACAATGCTTATATGAAACAGTTTGAGGAGTTTGCTACAGGGAGTCGAAGCTCATATGCAAATTCCGACACTGAATCAGTTGCAAGTAGTAGTACTTCGAATGGTCTCAAACGTAAAATTGGCGGTAAAGGTGCTTCTAAGACAGCGAAATCAAAAACACAATCAAGTATTCCTATTTCTAATAGCACTTTTGATAGCTGTAAGAAACCACAATTACCACAGCAACTGCCCACCTTTGTCCCTGTTTCCACAAGCCAAGATTTCGGCAACAATACTGCTCCCAATTCAGCTAAATTGCCGACATCTGTTTTACCACCGTTACCTACTACATCCAGCAGCGTAAATCAAGCGACTGTTTTGTCATCTCAACCAAAACATTCCAAACCAGGAGAAACAAATGTTCAAGTTATAGATTTAGATAACTACCGCAGCCCAAGCGATATATTATTGACTTCTCAACAAATGCTTAGACCGGCCAATAGTAGTACGAATACAACAGTGGCTAATGCAAAAGGTGCCTTAATGTCAACAGCGCCAAATCGTCGAGAAAGTAGTAGCGAATCGGATGGTGTGGAGATAGTTAGTATCTATCCTGCCGCAAGCAAAGCACCGGTGGGAGCAAGTCAAAAATCAAAATATAAGAAGAACTCAGCTTCAAATTACACTGTCGAACAAGGGAACATAAATACATTTCAAATCAACACTTCAAACTTAACAAACAACAATAATAACCATAATGCGAACAACAATAATAGCCAAAATATCAAAGGTAAACATATAGAGCAGTTGAGCGGAGCACCAAATTATGACAAACAAGTTGTACGCTCATTTAAAGATAATGCGGTAAGTAAGTAGTTATAAGTGTGAGTACATTATTGTTACAAAAAATTAATGCGTTTATATTTTAGGATTTGCAATTACAACACAAAATTAATCTGCCAACATCACAAAATGGTTCCAAAAAAGACCACTTTGCCCAATGACCCGCAGTAGTATTTGATGTAGCAGATTTTAGTACTTTATCGGCAGCGGCGCTTTCTTGTTTTGCGCAAGCGCAATCTGCAACGACCGAAACGTTCTTATCAACCAACACTGTAACTGGTGCAACGGTAGGAAAGCAACCGTTGGGCTCTTTACCACCACTGCCATTATTTTTACCAGCACACATGGAACATCCACAATTAGCACTACCACCACCACCACCACCGTCATCGTCATCGTCGATTGCCTCGATGAATACGCCAGTAGCATTAATACAATCGCCTTTACCGACACCAACAGCACCTTTGCCGTTGTCATCACAACTACCACCATCAAGCCAACAATCAACAGATCCGCAGCAGTTACAGACGCGAATTAGATTTTAAAATTTACATGATTCTAAATAAAACGAAAAAACACAAAAAATTGAAAAAGAATGCAAAATATGTTAAACAAAAATAATTGTCGATGAATATGTATGTTTGTTTATCGCGAATATGCGTTATACTTTTGGAAGGGTCAGTTGAGAAAATAACTTCAACAAATTCTTTATATTGTCTAATTGTGATACAGTTGTGTTTGAATATAATGAATGCCAGATATAGTGAAACTCCAATATTGGCACTGAGCACCACAAGTAGCGAACGTTGCAGGCAAAAAAAAAAAATATATATATATAAATTGACAAAAAGACAAATACAGAATGAGGATATTAATTTTTAAGCTATTGTTATTTGACGAAACGTCATTTTTCTTTCTTTTTTTTTTTTTGGGTTGACATCAAATAACTTGAAAGTGAAATTGTACATATTTTGCTAAAATTAAAATTAAATTTTTTGCGATGATTTGTGAGATACATGAATTTTAAACAAAAACTAAACTGGCAACCTTAATATTCTAGGCACAACTGTACTTAGTAATTCTAACTTTTTTTTTATATATACATATTTTCGTCAAGCATGCGTTTTGGGTCTTACTCAATTGAAGTTGAGTTTGGTCTTAATTTATTTATTATTTTAATTTCGGTTGATGCAATTACAAGAAGATGAGTAAACACCATAAAACAAGTAAACGTATATCTGTAGCATTTAAGCATGCGTTTTTTATTATATTTAAGTTAAATCTAATATAAATTGCCAATTTATGTGACATCGATGACCCTACAATTATTTGTCTCAATTTTTCGCAGATTTTCGTATAAACAAATTTTATTACAGTTAAAATGGGCAGCAAATATAATGTGAATCACATTCTTGATTTTTTTTTTCTTTAAATACTTTTTTCTATAAACGGTTCCAAAGGTCTACGAGTATGAATCATTTCGATAATTTTCCAACCTAAAAACTTTTAATATCAAATAAAAACATAGTATTCACAAAAACCAAGGCCGTTATTTATGTGGCGATATTTTTTTTTTTTGCAGCTGGACACTTGACATCCTATTTTTTATTTTTAATGCCACCTTGTAAATCAGTCTTCGACAGCAACCCAGCAAAACTTATGCGGGGTTTCAGAAAAAGCGGCTTCGTAAGTGTAAATTCTTTAACTTATTTCTGAAGCAAATAATAACAAATACTGACCAGGTGGAAATTTCATTCGATGACCGAACCTCGTCGGACCGAAGAAGGGACGACTTAGCCGACAAGTGACCCGTCATCTGCGCAAACTGCCAGACATAGCGGTTGATTTCTTCAAAGAATATGTTCAGGGGATTATAGGGAAGGTGAAAGCCTCCAAATCCATCGGCCACGACGGAATAAGCGTGTTGATGCTCAAACACCAGAGACTAGAAGGAGCAGGTTGTCTTACCAAAGTCCTGGCGTTTGAAAAATTGGTAGGGTAGTCCTACCACTAAAACCGGGGAAGTTAGTATCGCATCATCCAATGTCTCTCCTCTTCCAAGTAGAGACTACTTGAGACCTTGTTGCTCCCGCCTTTCACACATCACATGAGCTGTGCAGCACATCAGCATGGCTTCCGAAAAGTGCACAGCGCCAAAACAGCGCTTAACACCATAAATACTCAGATAGTTCATGACCTCATCCAAAACCGGCCCTGGGGGAGGGCTGTCCTAGTAACAGTGGGTCTGGATCAAAAGCATTTGACACCGTCAATCACTCAGCGTTACTATCGGGCATTGAGAGGTTAAAGAGATGGGCCATGGGTTACTCGAGTGGTTGACGATAATCGATAAAGTTTCGACATCAAACAGCCAAACTCTATAAGATTAAACAAAGGGTTCTCATGGGTGAAGTCGTTTCCTTACATTTGTTTAACTTCTACGTTTCGGAACTTCCTTCTCCACCAAAGAGCGTTTCACTGATATGCTGCTCATATGCCCGATGGAGTGTTCGATATAGGCGTCTTTTTGGAATATTGATGATGATTTATGTTTGAAAGTGAACTGCTATCCGGACGACGTTTCCCACTACATAACAATTACAACTGCAAAATGCGAAATTCTCGGTTACCCTCTTCACCTTCGACCGCCTCGATGCGAAAGTCCATAGCGTAAAAATTCCGACCATTAAAACTCCAAGTTACTGGGAGTCACATTCGATAGCCTGCCCTTTTTCACTACGCATGGGACTTATATAGTCACAAAAAAATCCTCAATCGTTAGCCGGCAGCACCTGAAGGAAAGAAAAGTTGCTGGCAACATACAAGGCAATAGGCCGGCGGGTACGCCAGGGACGCAGATGAAGAAGCTACAAGCATATCAATGTCGCCAGAGCGTAGAATATGGCAGAAATAATTAAGATTGCTATGTGATGAGTAGTAGTAGTGGATGGGCAGTAGGCCGAGAATGTATTGATATCTTGGTAGCCAGAAACAGCTGCATGAACACGAGCTGAAGAGATAAGACTAGAGCTGTACATAGATCTTGGAAACCATCAAACAGAATAAGCTTAAAGATAAGTCCTGTATTTGAATTATATTTATTGTTAGTTAAAATGTTGCTGTAAATGTAAAAAATGAATCTGTTTGGTTGGAATATCTCGAAAACTGAGTGAGTAGTTTGCGTACAAGCAGATGAACATACGGGTATGGGAAAGTCAGCTCAGCTCGTCCAAAGAACGGTGGTAAATTGTATATATTAAAAGATTTTAATTTAGATTCAACTGCTGCATAGATGACTTAGTTCTATGCCAATTCCTGAGGGTAGTGATCGTATGAAGCATGATTTTTAGTAGTAGATAGATAGATATATTATAAAGAGGATATGCACCGCGAACAGTGGTATGTTGTGCCCTCTAATTTCTTCACATTACTTCAACCAGACCTAATGCCCTTATAAAGCTAATCAGGCTGGAGGGGCTAATCGATTTAATGTGGTTCTCCTTCGACTAAATGGCTGTTGTTGTTGTTTTAACCGCATAATTATTCCCCAAAGTACTTTTTGGGGAATGTTGCGGCAGTGACAGTCCTTTGCCTGTTAAAAAACCGGGTCGTTCCGGTATCAAGACCCGACTGTCGCGGGAACTATTGGATTTTAGTCGCCTCTTACGACAGGTAAGCCTTACCGGGGGTAAATTCTTTAGCCCCTAACCCGCAGGGGTTGACTCCTAGGTGTTTGTTTTTCTTATACTTATTTCCCCCCTTCTTATCCCTTCTCTGATTGAGTGGGGACCTAAGGGGAAGAATTGCACTGGTCCAGTAGGAGAGATTGAGGCAGCTTATTTTGCAAGTCTATCTGCTATTTCGTTCCCTTCAACACCTGTGTGTCCCGGAAGCAAGGTGAGCTGAGCTTTGATACTTTCTCGCTTTTTATTAAGGTTCTTAACACACTCCCATACCATATGGGATTGAATTATGCTTTCAACGCGGCTGGGCTATCGCTGCAAATTACTATATGTTGGTTAACAATTTGGAGAATGAGCTGATGGCAAACACCTCTGCCTAGAATAAACTAAGGTATATCCCCATAGGAATCGAATTTTTAGTAGTAGCTTGCTGTCACACGAGCTGAATAATGCATCTTGTGCTCTATTTTGATATCCCAACTTTGGGTGCTACCTGAGTATATGCCGATCTTGAAATCCTTCGTAAATCGCTGAATTTGGACTGTTTCTCACATATTTCGCTCATTCTTTCTCTCTCTTTTTGTCTGTTTTTTTGATACAGTTTCCAACTCTTGGTATATTTCCCCACGCGCTGTGCGTTATGGTCTTTTAGGCTATTTATCAACCTTCTAGGAAATTAATAGTTTCGTTCAATGCTGTACTTAGGATGCTTGCAATGCCGCCCCACAGTTCCTTTTTATACATAAACAGATGAATGCATGGTAAACGTGTATGGTAATTGTGGCTAGACGTTGGGGACTTACTATATATATTTCCACTGTAGTATTTGTCACAAGGACCTATTCGTTTCCGTCTTTATTCCAGCCATCACAGTTTCTAGGCGGTGGTAATGGCAACCAGAGAGAAGAGAACTTAGTTGAAATCTAGGGAGCGAAAACTTTTGTGTTTCTATTCGTCGATGTAAAATTTGAATTTCTTTTTCTTTATTTTATCATTGCAATATTTGAATGGTTGCAATTAACATAAGACTCAAGTGGAGCATCAGAAGAATCCCCTGCGGGTCAGGGGTTCAAGAATTTACGCGCGGTAAGGCATGCCTGTCGTGAGAGGGTACTAAAGTCTAATAGTTTCCGCGACAGTCGGGTCTTAATACCGGAACGACCCGGATATTCATCCGGCCAAGGACTGTCACTCCCGCAACATTCCCCAAAAAGAACTTTGGAGAATACATTTGCGGTTACAACAATAAACCAGAAAGATACGAGTTAGCAAACCCCTTTAGGAATTGCGTTGGTATTAACCCTGCATATATGGGAAGTTTGGTAGACATGCTTGTTTTAATCTTAGACGTCTATCACGCAAAGCGGCACAAAAAGTTTAATCTGCACTAGCCTTAAGCTTAAGGCGTGTTGTCTAAGTTCACGTACCGCAACTTTTGTTACCGCCATCGCTGTAATATTTTCGAAATTGAATAAGTAAAAATTTTCAATTGGTTACAATAATATTAATTTATATTCAATTAAATTTATGAGTACTCAAATAAGGGACGAGTGTATGTTGCTCTATGATGACAAGTTGATGAAGCAACAAAAGAGTTCGTCCACATGCATTCCCAGATGTTTATATACTGCCCTACAGAAAAAGAGAAATCTCTGAACATATTTGATAACTTTAATCTCTCGTGAAACTTACATTGAGTGACAGTGGTACTTTTAACGCGATCTTCGTCAAAAGTAAAATATGTTTTACGTGCGGGCTCAAGATTATACTTGAGCGGAAGTCTAGCAATGCGCAGTCATTTGGGTTTACAACATTATAAGGCGAAAATTGTTGGATATAATAAGGCATTGCTTTGCAACCCTGGCTGTCAAATTTAATATTTGTGAAAAAGCAACGACTTGGTTGAAATAAATAAACTAGGAAAACCTTGTTGAGTAAATATTTTGTATTAATAGTACGTAAAAAGCACAGCTATTAGTAGCTCTATTATATATATTTTTTTGGAATATTGTCTAAATAGAAAACGCTGAACTATACATGCGTAAGTGTACGCTCTGTTTGGTGATAAGCATTTTGTGACGCAGATTTTGGGTGGCCGTTCGTGTTGTCAGAAGTTTGTGTACGAGATTATGTTATGGCATCTATGACCAGAACGTCATCAGAGGAAAGCATCATTGCGCCCAACATAAAATTTAATGTGTCCAGCTCAAGTGAGGATATCTGCAAGGAATCGAATAACCAAACAAATCCAGAGGTTGATATTGGACGAAAATATGAGTGTACCCTGTGTAGCAAATCACACCCACAACATAGATATCATTGCGGGTCATGCGTTCGGAATGGTAACTTTATGCACAGTAAAATTGTTGACTGTACACAGAAGGAAAAGTAAGTAGCGTAATATGTACATGCATTAACATTTGCATAAGAATTATGCCTTATAATAACAAATTACTTGTTTTTTTACTTACAGCCTTCATGAAAAGCAACAACGGTATATCAAAATAAAAGGTGGTATCAAGGACTTAAGTAATCAATATGAAATGTTTATGCGAGATCAGCGTTCTGGCGAGAATCTTCTGTGTGAGATTAAACGAAAAAAACAGAGGATTCAGCTGCTTAACAGATTAGTGTCAGAAAAGCAAATGCTATTAATCAATCGAAAAGAGAAAAAAGATCTGCTAAGTAAAGCGAATTTCGACAAACGAAAGCAGCTACCAAATTACCCGATAAAGGTAAAAGCTCTAGAAGACTACGTATTCGATAGACATGAGAAAATTTGTAAACTACGCGATCAATATGCAGAAATGATGACTAGAGTACAACAAGAAACGCGACAGAATATAAACAACCTCGTACAATATATCTTTCCTATATCGGAGGTTATGCTCAAAGATGAGAAGCGTCCATGTGATGGGCAGGAGGGAGAGCAAGGCAAAACACGTAATAAGGTTGATGACACGAAGCGTCACATTACCAATGCTGAGCACATTTCTTATATACGTGGTAAATGGGTATTTCACGGCAGTGGAATTAGTGAAGTTCAATATCGAATAGTAGCGCCATCGTTGCCTGCTAATGGCGATTATACTGCCTTCCTAGACTGGTTGACTGACAACAAAGATGATGTACCAAAAACTGAAGGTAATCAAATTCCCCCAAGCCAGATTAACGCTTTCCGCATCATTGGAGCGCTCACCTATACCACACAATTAACCGAATTATTAAGCTATTACCTGAATGTGCGATTGCCTCATAAGGTGGAATACGGGTAAGTGAAATGGAGTATTTGATGTACAATATATATAATATGAAAATTGAAATTTTTAGAGACTTTTGTCGTAAACTCAACGCAGAACAATTTTACCGCAAAGTATCCCGGTTAAATTCAAATATCATGTACCTTGCGTATACACAACAGGTGCAACTACGAAACCTGAATGAGAATCATACGCTGGAAAATATATTAGCCATTTTAGATGTGGAGAAAAGTAATCTGGGGCGCCATGGATTCTATGAAATATCTAATGCACCGCTAATGAAATCTGTCGATTCTTTGCTAAAAGGAATTGAAACAGCTACTGAATCTGAATCGGAAGGTAAGTTTTATCAATCTTTGTTATAGTAGTTGGTTATTCAATACTAATAATTGGCATTGCAGATGAAAATTCCTTACGCTCAGGTTGGGAGGCGGTATCAAATTTCCCGGAAGAGCCAGATATTGGAGAATCGGATTTAGTGCCAGACGTCGCTGCACAACAATCAAGCATTACAGGTGGCATAATAACATCAGCAGCAAATCGAATAACCGCAATACTTCGATGGCGAAGATAGAACTTATAGAATTCAACGCTTTTAAATAAATAAAAAAAAAATATATACTATAAAAATAAGCACTAATTACGCTCATGTATAATGTGTTGCGATATTGTATCCATATTTATATTTTTGTCTTTGCATACACGTACCTACACTCAACACTTACAAACATACATATATACATGACTAAAATAAAATAAAATTGATAAAACTTATCAGGCAAATGAATTGTAATTTATTAGCCAAACCAAATCAGCCATGCGGGTTGCAGTGTTTGCTGCTACCTGTTAGTAATTGGCCAAAGTATAACAATACAATCAAATAGAAGGACGGACATTCGATTCTCAGAAAATGAAAATAATTTTTCGCAACCGTCAGTGAGAGCTGAAACCAATCATCCAGCATTTGCATATAGACATGTTTATTTATTTTCGTTCGACCTGTACTTTATTACAACCATTTTACGAGTTCCGGTGATTGAATATTTACATATAACTTACTACACTTTTACCTTTCATCTAAATATTTTCAAATTATTAATTATAATTTACGTTCACATGAAAACACGTAACACTGGACAGCCATAGGTTTGTAGCGCAACTGAAAAATGTTGCGAGATACGTAATTATGATCCGTTAATATGAACGAGTTTTGAATCTTAAAACATATCACCAGTTTTATTATTTTACGAACTTTTATTTATGTACATATGAAAGTTTGCACACGATTTTCCATTATTTTGCAGACGTTGTTACACGTTTATTGAATGATAAGATGAGTATATCAAAATAAAATGAACCATCGCCTCTTTCATAATGATTTTCATACATAATATTTTCATTTTATACTAATCTGCGTGATTTCTGCAACATATTAACGTGCTTTACGCGCCTTTCGATTGTAAACAACTAAGTGTGTGAGTGAAATTGTTTGAGAATGATCAATCAACAATTCAAATTGTTCTAATATTTGATATAGATGGTAAATAAATGTTTCTATTTTTTGGGTCCAATGATTTTGGTTACAGCTTCGACGACGTTCTGAGGCTGTGGTAGTGCATTCGCTTCGAGAGTCTTGGCGTAGGGCATGGGAACGTCAACGCCGCATACACGCCACACGGGTGCATCCAAGTGGAAGAAGGTTTCATCTTCCATAATACGGGCGCAAATTTCGGCACCAACACCTAATATCGTAGATGGAAGCGGAAATAAATATTTCATTAGTTTTCATAGCGCAGTTGCAATTTTCTGATTTTTACCATGTTGTGGCCAGCCCTGTTCGACAGTCACAAGGTGATGTGTCTTTTTAACTGACTTGCAAATAGTGTCCATATCAAGTGGACGAATCGAACGCAAATTGATAACCTCAGCTTCAATACCTAGATTGCAGAAATGAATTATATAGTGCATTGAAACGTCACACATATGCAATTCTACTCACCCTTTTTAGCCAGCTCAGCAGCAGCTAACAATGCTATTTCAACTGCTTTTGAATGTGCCACTAAAGTTATGTGATTACCGGGCTTCATAATTTTTGCTTTACCAATCGGCACCACAAAGTCTTTGTCCAGCACTTTGTCGTCCACAGGGAATGCAACGCCATACAACATTTCATTTTCAAGGCAAACCACTGGATCGGGGTCGCGAATGGAAGCCTTAAGCAGACCACGGGCATCCTCACTGTCGTAAGGGGATATTACTTTAAGACCAGGACAGTGCGCATACCAGGCAGCAAAACATTGGGAATGCTGAGCTGCTACACCAGCAGCAGCGCCGTTAGGTCCACGAAAAACTATCGGCACGTTAACCATACCAGCGGACATATAGAAAGTCTTTGCTGCAGAGTTGATGACCTTGTGGAGAATATATTGTAATTTAAATAAAAATTTCCTTATTCAAGAAACACATATTCACATATATGTATGTATACTATTTGAAATTTATTTATGTATATGTATACGACTGAAATACCAACACGATCGCTAAATACAAACTTATTAAACCTATGCAATTGTACACGAACAACTTTTATTTTATGCCTAATTTTTCTTTGATGATAAACGCAGGCAAACGACGACCTTTCCAGTAACGTGGCAACGGATTCTCATTTGCCTTTCGCAATTGTTCCTGAACATACTGTTCTGCGCTGAACGCCTCACCAGCTTTCACTTGGGCTATTAACTTAGCTTGGAATGCTTTTTCTTTACGCATCTCGCGCCGTTGACGCACTTTGGCCCATTCGAACTTCATCTTGCGACGTAGCTTCTTCAACTTGTGCTTCTTCATTTTACGACGACGTATAACAATAAGACGTGCTGCTTCCATTCTACCATTACTTATGGCTGGGACTTGAATTTCGTTAATTATTGTAGGCTCGTCAAGTATATCGTTGATTTCATTTAACCACTTGTTACGCGGACTTTCGATAATTTGACGACAGCTAGGCAAATCACCAATAGATGCTGGTGGCTTTGGTGTACTTAGTTTTACAGAACTAGCATTGAACTTGTTGTGGTAGACTTGTAAATTATTAGGAAAGCTAGTGTTTGGCTGACGCGATAGTATGTTAACCTGTGTGCAATTGGATAACATGGGTTAATTAAACAAAAATACTGATATTTTGTTTTTCTTTAATTTTAAATTAAAAGATCTTTAACTTAATGAGATTAATACGTTAAGTTTATTTAACCCATATTATCCGATGACAATTGGTTTTGAGAAAGCATTATCGAAAGTGTTGGTATTTTGTATGTAAAAGTCAAAGCAATTTAATACAAATATATGAATACATACATATATATTAATATATGTATATCAGCACATGATTGGAAGGCGATTGATTAATTTGAAATGTTGTCGTAAAGAGAAAGACGAAAACAATTTGTTAACCCGCTCTTAATTGATATATGTACAATATGTTCATATTTAAAAACAGATAATATGAGTTAAGGTTTATGAGTAATTATATAGTTGACTTTCATTATATTATGCAAAATGGCTTAAAATAATGTGCACTATATACTTAAGTTGTAGGCTTAATTTTTTTTTTTTTTTTAAATAAAGAATAATGAAAGAAAAAAGGTTTCCAAATAAAAAATGCAAATATTACACAGATTATATTTGGTTTACTTACTTGATCAATGGCCTGCATTGAGAAATTAAAAGTCATAAACTCGCAAATTGGTCGTAAGCCGGCCATCGCAGCGCCAACAGCTATACCTGCAAAACCCATCTCAGTAATGGGAGTATCCACAACGCGTTGATCGCCATATTTTTTCCAAAGTCCGCGAGATACCTGCATGCAGGAGAGAAAACTTGTCAATAGAAATAATGAATGGCCACAGGAGTTTAAATTAGGGTAAACAAAATTTATATCCGTCCATGTGATGCTGCTTATCAGTTGATAGGGTGATTATTGCGTTGCGCACGCTTCGAAATGATAAGCTTGCATGATTTTTTTTAAGCAGCTTAAAACGTTGTTTGACCTTGTATTGTCTATTTCATACCGCATGCAATCACTCTTATTCGCTATGTTTTTCAAAATATAGACATATTTCTTACGCATACTGTTCACTGCGCGTGCTCTTATCGACAACTATCCATTAATTTGTCAGCTTATTACATAGACAATTGTTATATGTGTATGTGATTTGTTGGTATGTCACAGTTTACGTAATCATGCTGATGTTAACCACGACAATACAGTTTACAGTCAAAAATAGTAATAAGCTTACCTTGTAGGCGCCATCGTATTGAGCCACCTCTTCTCCAATCAGGAATACGCGATCATCGCGTGCCATTTCCTCGTCCAGGGCAGTATTTAAGGCTTCACGCACGGTTAGCTGTTTCGCGGCAAGGCTTTTCGGCGATGTCGAGAAAGCACGCCGTGCCACGTTCGAGAAAATCGCTTTTACGGGCTGCATATTTGATTTGCAATTTCGTTAAAATACCTTTCTATATCGTTTAATCGTTGGCTCTACAGAAATTAAAGATTAGCCAGAAATTTGTTGTATAATTATAGTTAAAAATTACAATTTTCAGCGTGCACTATGCGGTTAACGTAATGCCCGATGGCAGTAGAGAAAACGTCTGACAGTCGGTAGATAAGGTGAAAAGGAAAAAAGAAAATAATTCCAATTGGAAACGTCAAAAGTTAGCCTTCCCAGCTGTTTTCAAATTGGATTGTAGTTTTTGTAACGATTCGAAATCTACCATAGGATTGTTGAATAAAAGTCTTGAACTCTTTGCTTGAACTAATACATTAAAATTTCTTATTCGTAAATTATTTAATCATCGTTTATCTATTACTCTGTAAATATAAATTCGCTTTACCATACATGACGACTTATTTTACATCTCTAAGTATCTCTAGTATACTCTACCTTACTCCATGCGATGTTGTCACTACCGAGTTTGAAACTCAACCGAATATGCCATGACAACAGACATCTAGAATATAAAATATACGTTTGTCATAAAAATTAATTTATTTAATTCACCTTCCATAACGGGAGTGAGTACGCTATTGACAGCTATTTCACAAAACTTCTTTGCACAAAATCTAATTCTAATTGATAAATGAATGACATAATTTCATAACAAATTGGGCAAATACAAGATTAATTGGTCAAAGATAACCAAATTGTGAAAGCGCGACCAGACAAAATCGAGGAAAAGCCAGATGAGCCCAAGTTAACGCACCAAGAACGCCAAGACAAAGTGCTTGAGATTGAAGGACCGCCCAATTAGCTTTTCCAAGGTTAAAACACCGTACTTCGATGGAACGCGTCGTTCGAGGTCGTCGAGCTACAACTCGAGCAGCGGAGATCCTGTAAATAGTTTAAAAATATGAGGGGATGACTACGGGGCATTAATGCAAGGGAACATCAAAGACAGATCTTCCACATGGAATCGGAGAGGCATACCGAAGGCACATCGAGACCCTACTACAGGTTACTTGGGAAATCGAGGGGCTGGCTCATTTGGCTTATGGAGAAACCCTTTGAAAACATCTCGAATGGGTAAATATTCAGAGACTCGTTAACGGATTACACGACACATATGTGACTGAGATACGGTAATTGAAAGCGATAATTGGCAGCGCAAATAAAAATCAAATTCAAGCTCAAAATAATGTTGAAAAGGAAAGGAGAGCTTTTTCATTTTTAATTTAAATTAATGATGCGCAAAATATTGTTGATAGCGATACTTTATTTCTATTTGGTTATATTAACAACCCTTCGAATAGGCATTCATCTAAGCGAAATTATGGGGTTACTGAATTTCCTTTTTGACTGCGTTTTGTTTCATATGGATTTTGTCACAGTGTAGTCAGCTGATTGTCAATTCAATTGTTGTATTTTGGAATGCAGGAAGACGTGAACCCTTCGAAGGAATTTATATAATATTGCTTCCGGAGTTTTTAAAACTGATATTCACTAAGTTGATAACTGCTTAAAAGTCGAGTTTTAAATTTTCTCTGTTTTTAATTTAATTAACATATTTATAAGCGGAGTAGTATTTTCCGGTAGGTAGATTGTGCACGTATGCATAAATACATATACGCAAATAAACAATAGTAAATACATATACATACATATGCATATGTTTGTACATGTCAGCGCGAATTTTCGCAATAATTTACATTTCTATCTTATCAAAGTTCAAACTGATGGTTTACTATAATCTTTAGAGGTACGTGGGCGCTTCGAATATCTATATTAAAATTCCTTACAAATTCATATTGCGGACGCTCAGTAAATATCGAGATAAAATGGAGAATATAACAAAATTGTGGATGGGACCTCTTCCCAAGGATTCTCCCTACGTAAAACCATTTAGATTGTACTATGTTCAGAATGGAGTTGAAAAAAATTGGGATTTACTGAAAGTTCATGATAGCGTTGCTGTCATCCTATACAACACAAGCCGGCGTGTTCTGATTTTCGTACGACAATTTAGACCAGGTTTGTATCTAATTTACCTAAAGGTGTAACTATTTGATTTAACCAAGGTTATTTACTTATATTCAGCCGTCTTTCATAGTTTGGTTACTGCTGGTGGAAGCGATGTTGGCGAGGTAGACTTGCAAAAATTTCCACCAAAAATAGGTGTAACATTAGAATTATGCGCTGGTATTGTTGATAAAGAAAAGAGTTGGCGTGAAATTGCACGAGAGGAAGTTTTGGAAGAATGTGGTTATGATGTGGCTGTTGATCGTATCGAAGAAGTGATGACTTACAGGTAATTATTATATTCAAAGAATTAAAAATTCTTAAAGCAAATCTAAATTACAGATCTGGCGTAGGTTCATCTGGCGCATGCCAGGTAATGTATTATTGCGAAGTTACGGATGATGATCGTATTACAAAGGGCGGTGGCGTAGAGGATGAGATGATTGATGTGGTTGAATATACAATTGAAGAATCTCGCGACTTAGTGAGGCAAGGTTCCAAGATTAATAGTCCTCCAAGTTGCCTTTTAGGCATTTCGTGGTTTTTGATGAATAAAGCACCAAAACTTTCTTAGTTAGATATGGAAAAATTATAATTTTTTTAGATAAAACTCATTGCATGGTATACCTAAGAACATATCTACGTAACAGCGTCAGTAGGATGTTTCAAGGCTATTAATAATATAAACATTTTATTTTCTATAATAATAAATGTGTAAATTTAAATAAATAAATAAAAAATTAATTCAAAATAAATAAAAAACAAAATACAAACCACGCCTTTAACTTACAATTTCCTTTTTGAACGCTGCCAATTGAATTTGAAAGCGAAATGCTATACATAACAGTTTAGGGGAAAAAAATCCTCTATATTTTAAAAATGTTTCAGTATTTGATGAAAACTACCTCCGAGAGAACAGAAAAAAAATATAAACAATTTTATTTAAACTTAATAATTAAATTTAGTTATCCATAAGAGATTTTGAGTTATCGCGGCAGAAAATAGGCGCATTAATTAATTGGAAACAAACAAATGAATTAATTAAATAACTTAAGCTCTAATAAAAATTAAAAGAATATTAATTTATTTTTTAAATAAAGTTGGTGTACTAATGATCATATATGTATGGCTGATAGGCTCACCAAAAAACTCACGCGAGTTCTGGTAATACCAACACATAAGCAAGTTGTTTGTTTATCTCTCTCTTCTGAGTACATACAAATTGAAAGTGGTTTGTTTATCTCTCTTCTGAGTACACACAATTGAACGTCCCTGCAGGAACGGGCGTGTATTACACGTTTTCGGGCAGCACAAACATATGCACATTTTTTTTGTTTATATTTCTCTTCTGAGTACATAAAAATTGACGAAGAATGCAGACGAACGGATTATCCGATTTTATTTGTTCTTAGCAGCAGATAGAAGTGAAAAATATATGATGAGGGTCCTGTACAAGTTGTGGTAATAATATAATATATTGTCGATTAATTAACTACTTCATTTTTCATAACTCCTTACAATGTTTTTATTTAAGGGTACTCCATATTGTACAGAAAATTCTGGTAATGAAGCAGGTTAGGAGAAAATATTCAACCAAACCTTACGAGATACAACTGCATTAAAATATTAATAACATTATGATTCGAGAATTATTTTTTTAAATTTTACTTAGATGTTTTTATACATTAAAGGAGCTGCGATTATGACGGAGGCGTTCGAGGAGCTGGAGCTGCGTCACTATTAAATACTTTTGTATATGCGGCTTTTTTTATAAAAATTTACTTATTTTTGAAAACGAATTTATTGTTGTATTGTTATTTCTTTTGTGTGCTATTGAGTGCTTTGTAAACATGCACATGATTTACGTTAAATATTGAAATAAAGACAGAATCTTAATAATGTTTGTATGCATGTATATATGTATGTAGGGAAAGCTTTTGTCTAAGCTGATTTGCTTTCGCGTCAATGGTGTCGCTCAGCTCTGTTCGGTTTGTCCGTCAAGAATGACAAAAATGCACAAGGAAACGAAGAGAGACTGACGTACACGTATACAAATGTAAACATCACTTTTCTCATTGCGGCATTAAGAAAGCGGTGGGAAAATCGTTCTAGGAGCTGATGGGTTATGGCATCATACATTCCTGTCATATGTTGGCTCAAAAGATCGGAAGCCTTCTTGCAGGGGTATAAATTAACGATTTTTGCCAAACACGCGTCCGATCATGGATCATGGGGTTGTTCAACATAAGTATTGAACTAATACAATACAATTTCTTATTTGCAAAGAACCTAACCTACGTTTTTTTTTATTACAGAATAAATAACAAGTCCCTTTACTATATGCAGCCACCTATTTTACAACTCTCAACACTCTATTAGAGCAAGTCTAACCCCGTTTGGGAGGAGGCAAGCTCAGTCTAAGTCATCGAGGTCATCTAACGGTAGGTCCAAGAAACGAACTGTTTCGAAGATTTCGGACCTCAATGGGGTTAGGTCACCAACCCACCTGTCGCAAACAACGAACTCGAGCTGTGCCGAGAAACACGCGTGACATTGGCACAACTTAGGTCTAGATACGGTAGCAGGTTAAACTCCTACCTAGACTCGACCCCAACATACTCAACGTATGCCCTATATGTGAAAAGTCGCCATGTGACACTAACCACCTCCCTTAAGCTGACACATCTAATCCTCCTCTAAAATTAATGGCGTTTAAAGTCAAGTAATTCGTGTTGTTGTTGTAGCCGCAAAAACGGGGTATAGAATCTGACTACCAGAAACTTCGGGTTATTAATAGTAAGAATTTTTACGCCATTCACTTTCATATCGAGTTTGAGTCGGAACTCGTTCATGGTGCTGTCGTCTTTAATGGTGCAGAGTGCCGAATCATCTATCTGTCCTGCCAGCCAAAGATGGCGGTATGCGTTCAAGTTTCCCAAACCTAAAACTGTTTTCGCGTCTGAGTAGCTTGCCTATGTACGTGTATATCAGGACGGTATCCAACGAGGCAACAGGTAACCATGTAAATGTATATCTGAAATATTTCGAGCTCGAAAGCCATGCCATGGCATTCTAGGGTAGTATCCCCGCGGTTGATATTGGCATCGGTAAGACGATACTTCACGGTGTTGTGTAAGATCATGGTTTCGCTCAGGATCCTTGCAGATGATGTTATGTAAAGTGTGATTTTTTGAGAGCTATAGGAAAGTTTTCCAAAAAAAAAAGTTAAAAAAAAATGAATCGATAGTACGGTCCACATAATTTAATGTTTGAACCTCAAATGGTCCATCAGCTTAGTCCAATTTTGGCATACTCTTTCCAACACTTCGGACGGTATCTCCAGAACAAATGGTTCAATGTTGTCATCCTATAAGTCAATTGAAGCAGGCATTAGATTTAACATAGCTCAACAAATAATAGTCTAAAGGCATTAAATCGTACAATCTAGGTGGAAAATTGACCGGTACTGAAAGTGAAATAAAATTTTCACCGAACTCGCCTCTCAATGAGTCCATTGTTACGCTTGCTGTGTGGCATGTGGCACCGTCTTGTTGAAACCACATGTCATGCAAGTCATGCTCTTGCATTTTGGGCAAAAAAAAAGTTTGATATCATCTCATGGTAGCGCCCATTCACAATAACGTTACGATTCGCATCATCTTTGAAGAAGTACGGTCCAATGATGCCACCAGCCCATAAGCCGCACCAAACTGTGACTTTTTCTGGTTGTATTGGTAGCTCTCGCAATGCTTCTGGCTGATATTTACTCCAAAATCAACAATTCTGCTTACTTACGCAACCATAAAGAGAGCTTCGAAGTGCGCACGATGAACTTTCTTAACAGAGCACGCATTTTGATGATAAAATTCAATAATTTGCAAGGTTGTAAGACGATTCATGGTTAAATTATAGACCAAACTGAAGTTGTGATACAAAACACAAAGCTTGTGTCAGCTGTTTAAACCAGTGTTGCCAAAAAATAATAGCTTAACATCATCCTTTATATCCAGCCTGGCTCAGAAGATCTGGTCTGTCTCGGAAAAACCCGTATTATTAACGTAACGTCGTAAGGGAGTGATAGGTAGGAGCTGTTGTGTAGTCCTTAAACTGGAGGATGAGAAGGTGAAAGTGGATGGGTAGTATGGAGTTGCGGCGAGCTCAGTGAGTTCGTAACTCAAAATGGGTAAGGCACTGCCGTGAAAGCCTTAGTGTGAGATGCTGCAAAGGATTTGAAGCAACGCAGAGAGTATCACCGTGCTTTGGAAGAAGTTTCGGTAAAAATAACCAAACAATTTCAAAGTGAATATATACGAGTACATACTTAGAAGTGCGAAATATGGATGATAATACCGGAGGAAACATGTAATAATAATTTTTTGATTAATTTAATACTTCATTTTTAATGGCTTACATGAGGACAACCTAACGTTTTGAGAGTCGCAGATTGAAAAGTGTTTCATGAAATATTCCTCCCGAATTGCTCTAACTTGCTTGGTTTGCTTATATTCCGATTATTCAAATACAGTCGACACTCGTTAATTCAAACCTGCGATAATTCGAAGCTCTCTGTAATTCGAAGGTATCATGAGTTGCCTTAATATTTCGAACTAAATCAACAGACTTTTATGCACTTGCTAATTCAACAACGCAAAACAACGCGGTAATTTGAACTAACACCGTTAAACACACGATAATAATAAGTTACTTGAACTTCTTATAAGCAATTACTAGTAGCTGAAGATTGGCTTACAAACTTCAAATAGAGAAACGGTGTTTTATTTGAAAACTTTGATGCCCGAGACATTATTAAAACTGATCTCACCCTATTTTCCAAAAGCTTACCCGACGCTTACTTTAAAAGAAGTGAAGAGAGGTTCACAATTTTACTTGCGTTAAATATGGACGGATTGAAAACACTTAAACCCTCACTAATAAAACAAGAAACGAAATCGTGCACAGATTCAAGGAGTGAAAACTTTTCCTACTGATTATCTCTGGGATGACGGTAGGATTTTTGAACAATTAACTTCTTACAGTTAATGGAGACATAAAAGTATAAAAGCGAAAAATTTCACTCCTTTCCGACCATTGCACAAGAATTCTCTTTACATTGGTCAACGTAAAAGTTCCAAATTGCAGTCAGTCTGGCTATTTCATTTATGAGAAGGTCTGGAGATCTTTAACACACTTTATTCTACTTTGATTGTTTAAAAAATCCGTTTTCATAAAAGATCAGGAAAATCTTCCAATAATTACGGACGACGCTGAACCACTAGTTGAGCGGTTTGAGCTCTTTTGACTTCGTTCCAGTGGATGAAGATGATACAAACGAATAAAGCAACGATGAAGACCACAAAAGTGGTAAGAAGCATTTCAGACATTCTATTAAAAAAATACCAAGAATACCCGTTGTTAGATAATAATAGTTTATAAAAATTTAATAATTCGAAGTGTTATTTCTTTTCTCTAAAGAATTTTGAACCTTTGAATATTGTGAACACTCGATATGATTGGTACCTTTGTAACCGCTGAAGCGATTTTGGAACTAAAATAAGTCGGAAATAAAAATAAGTCACATGGTGATAGATCAGGCGAATACGGAGGATGGTCAATGAGAGAAATCCCTTTTTTCATTAAAAATTCGAGCGATTTTTGGTCGTCATTTAATTCATGTGGAACAAATCGCGCACAGACCTTTCTTTTCCCCAAATCTTCAGTTAAAATTCTCCAAATGGCGTTTTTACTCGTATTCAATTCCTCAGCCAACATTC